CTCTGAAATTCTCCGGCTCGCTCCCGGGGGCTGGTGGGCCCCGCAGCAGGGTCCTTGGTCGCCAGCCCGCCTACCCCCTCCCTTCTCCTGCCAGCGAGCTTGGGGGGTTCAGTGCAAGGCCCCCCGGCCACCCTCCCTGCCCCTTAGGGTGGCTGCTCCTGGGGTGCACGGGACCCCAGAGGAGATGCAGGCTCAGCTCCGTCCCTGCCACTGCTGGCTGGGTGTGTTCTTGGTGAAACCCCACTGCTGTCGCCTCAGGTGCGGGTGTGTTTCAGCATTTTCCTCACTTGATGCTATTCAAGGTCCTGGAGAGGAGCGACGCGTTTCTGTCGCTGCCGGTGGGTCTGCTGAGCGCTGCCAGCTGTACCTGGGCATCCCTCCCCTTGGCACTGTGACCAGCACAGACGCCAAATGTCTTCACAGAGATCGGTGACTGCCCCACCGAGCCTGCTGGTTATTGTCACCTCTGTTACAGAGCTGCTCGGTGCGTGACGTCCCTCTGAGGCACCCAGGCAGGGCACAGGGTCTGCAGGGGATGTGCCTGCGGGTGGCTAACAAGAGCTCTGCGTTTGCTTCCCAGTTAAGGCTCTTGATTTCTTTCCTCTCTGCCTACATCGATGGGGATGGGATGAGCCCGCAGCGTGGAGCCCGTCGGCGTTGCCCGCAGCAGCTCTGCAGCTGGAAGGGCTCAGATGGGTGCATCTCCCCCACCTCCCAGTGCTGCCTCTGGTCCGGGCTGTGCCACTCCAGCAGCGTTTGGGAGGATGGGCTCTCACAGTGGAGCAGCCCCCCGAGCCTGTCACCCCATCCATCCCTGCCAGCTGCCAGCGGGTTCCCACTGTGTCGCTCCAAGGGAGGTTAAGCCAGAAAGCAGCTACTGGCGGAAGCCTGCACAGTTTGATAGCCCGTGCACAATTTTATCACAGCTATTGTGCCTGAGGTGATGGGTTTCCTCTCTGCGCAGTTGCTTTTTCTACACAAGAACCTTGCAAATTAAAAATCTGACAGCCCGACACAGGAGTCCACGAGAAGCCCCGAGGAGCTCTCAGGGGTGTGCCATGGTTTTCAGATGCTGGGCAGTTTCCCCCCAAGCGGTCAGGCTGGCTGTGAAATGCCAGCGGGTGCCGGTGGGTACCAGGACGAGGGACTCCCGAGCAAGGAGGGTCTTGTAAAACCCCTTCCCAGTTTGCTGCCCGATCAGCTCCGCACTGACACTCAGCGAAGATTTGTTTACCCCGCTGCTGTCAGAGCGAGAGGCAGCTGCTTTCCGATAAATCACGATTTGGTGGCATGTGTCAGGCAGCTCAGCTGGAGCCGGCACCACGTGTGCACGGGCATTGCACGGGAGAAACAAAACGGGGTGGTAGGTTTAGTGACTGTCAGTGTGCGTTTGCTCGCCTTGGTTGGTGCCTTGGCTTGGTAATATGCCTGATTAGGGAGATCTTGACCTCTTCCAAGCAGTTAAAAACATAGTAATAATAGTAGCAGTTACTTAAGAGACTTGTTGAAATACAGTGAAATAGGAGAAATGGCTAATTCATTGTGCTTAGCTCCATTATCAGCTGTAACAGTAATGAACAGACTTTGTCTTGCTCCGAGCCTGAAGCTGGGGCGTCGGGAAGCAATCCCTTTTAGCCTGCACTCCACATGCAGGGGATTTATAACCCTGCTGGGGTGAGTGAGTGAGTTTGCAAAGGGCTGCAGGTGTTTATAAAGGAGGAGGAGAGGCGGGGAGCGGATGAGCTGAGCAGGGGCCGGTTTTCCCTGCAAACCTTTAATCCAGCTGTGCTTGATCCCAGACCCTGCTGATGTCCGTGGGGAGGAAGCTCCAGCCTTGGGGAGGCTTTCCCCTGGCCGCACGGTTGTGGGCATCCGCCCGGCATGTGGGGACCGGCAGGAGAGCTGCCCGTGGGGGCTGGTGGTGGACACTGGAGCAGCGGCAGACAAAGAAGTGCCTGTGGTGGTCACAGTGGTGGACGGGCCATTTTCGATTTCACCTGCGGCTCCCGCCCGCCCGCCTTCCCGCAGTGGCCCGGCGGGC